GGCGGAGGATTAACCATGTGAGCCATGGAACCAGCCCCAAGTTTCTGACTTTTATGAAAGAGCTTATTAATATATTTTCAAAACTGGTGATGGTAGATTAAGTTGCTCTAGTATTTAAATTAATTGTTCTACTTCAAAGTATTATAGTTTAAATATATGCGAAGATTATGTTCTTTGCAACAACTTAAAGAATTAAAATTTTGAGATGTCAACTTAAAAAGTGTTATGTAATCCAGTTTGAGGACCTAAACTACTTGATAACAGCTATTAAAGTTGCTGTAAGAAGCCTTATAGTAATATACTAGATGCATTTTTTTCCTCAGTTATGTGGGGAGCAATTCGGACTAGACTGTTACTCGAATTAAGACTTATTCTATGCATCTGCTCTCCCACAATATGGCGCTGGGAGAGGAGGAAACAGCTTCTACACAGCTGCCTCCAGTTCAACCAATAAACAGCAGGACCTGCTCCTGATTGGAGGAGAGCAGCGTACTCGGCGTGTGGGTAGCAGAGTTGGGATTGGTGGAAGAGGACTATAAAGGAGGAGAGAGACAACATGCACCAGGAACATCTATCTGAAGGAACACCTGAGCAGCCCCCGAGAGAGCCGGCCGGCAGTGTGCTGCTCCCCCGCGGAAGTGGGGAAAGTGGCAGGTGGAACCGCCCTTCCACGGAGGTGGAAGGGTCGGTAGCCAACCCGGGAAGAACCAGCAGCAAACCCGGGGAGGGCCGAGCAGACAAAACAGTGCAGGGTCCTGTGTTGTTCCTCCACGAAGACGGGGAGCGACATAATGGTGCCGTGACTCGGATAGGAAACCTAGGCAGGGTTTAGTGTCGTTCCTCCACGAAGAGGGGGAGTGACAAGTTAATTCTCTGCTTTTAGTTTAATGGTATCTTTAAAATTATTCTTTTTTTTTTTTTGACAGGCAGAGTGGACAGTGAGAGAGAGAGACGGAGAGAAAGGTCTTCCTTTGCCGTTGGTTCCCCCTCCAATGGCCGCTGCGGCCGGCACGCTGTGGCCGGCACACCGCGCCTATCAGAAGGCAGGAGCCAGGTACTTCTCCTGGTCTCCCATGGATGCAGGGCCCAAGCACTTGGGCCATCCTCCACTGCACTCCTGGCCACAGCAGAGAGCTGGCCTGGAAGAGAGGCAACCGGGAAAGAATCAGGCGCCTCGACCGGGACTGGAACCTGGTGTGCCGGCGCCGCTAGGCGGAGGATTAGCCTACTGAGTCGCGGCACTGGCCTAAAATTATTCTTAGGAATGTTTAGTTCTATAAGGATGGAGGCCTTGAATCCTTTTAAATGTTGATGGACAGGTGCTAATAAAGATGAATATGTGAAGATACAGCTGAGAAAAGAGTTCCAGGAAGTCTTCAAAAAGTTCATGGAAAATGGGAATCATGAAAATTGTGTGATTCCAATTTATTTTGAAGCCAAATAAACTTATCCTTTGATTTCACTTTCTATGAACTCTTTAAAGTCCCCTCATGTGGATAGGCAAAAGCCCTGGGGGAGGTAAGAGTAGTAGAGATAGAACACACAGGGTAAATATGAACTAGCTTCAAACAGGAAAAGGTGAGCTTGGCCCTCTGCCTCCTGGGGGAAGAAGTTAGAATAGAAATGGGCAGAACTGGTGATGGTGATGGTGGTGAAACAGAGCAGAACAGTGCTTAGCTAATACAAATCAAATCACAGCATCTTTCTTTGTGAAAAGAGAAGTGATTTGATTTTTTTTTTTTTTGATGAGGGTGAAGAAGGCAGGTGTTGAGTGGTTAAGGTTTTGAACTATTTCCTTTAGAATGACAGAGGAATTGCAAACCAAGATCTACCAAAAAATCATGAAATGGTACCAAGGATCAGATTGTGCCCTTACTATGGCTGTTTTTCTGTACTTCGTAAATTGGACTGACTCTTTTGACAATTCATTTTTACTTCGTTTTGCTTGTTGGCAAGCATCTTGCAGGATTGCATTTCTTTTTTCCTTTTTTTTTTTTTTTTGACAGGCAGAGTGGACAGTGAGAGAGAGAGAGAGACAGAGAGAAAGGTCTTCCTTTGCCGTTGGTTCACCCTCCAATGGCCGCCGCAGCCGGCGCGCTGCAGCCGGCGCACCGCGCTGATCCGGTGGCAGGAGCCAGGAGCCAGGTGCTTTTCCTGGTCTCCCATGGGGTGCAGGGCCCAAGCACCTGGGCCATCCTCCACTGCACTCCCTGGCCACAGCAGAGAGCTGGACTGGAAGAGGGGCAACCGGGACAGAATCCGGCGCCCCAACCGGGACTAGAACCCGGTGTGCTGGCGCCGCTAGGCGGAGGATTAGCCCAATGAGCCGCGGCGCCGGCCTGCATTTCTTTTTTCCAAACTGCTGACCTCCAGCCATTCTTACGGAAATTCTCTCAGGATTTATTTTTTAAAGATTTATTTATTTGAAAGTTACACAGAGAGAAGGAGGGGGAGTGGGGGAGAGAGAGAGAGAGAGAGAGAGAGATCGAGAGAGATTATTCTTCCATCTGCTGGTTCTCCCCAATTGGCTGCAACGGCTGGAGCTGTGCTGATCTGAAGCCAGGAACTTATTCTGAGGCTCCCATGTGGGTGCAGGGGCCCAAGGACTTGGGCCATCTTCTACTGCTTTCCCAGGCCATAGCGGAGAGCTGATCGGAAGTGGAGCAGCTGGGACTCGAACCAGCGCCCATATGGGATGCCGGCACTGCAGACAGCGGCTTTACCTGCTATGCCACAGTGTCGGCCCCTCTCAGGATTTATATAACTCCATCATTTCCACCTTCTCTCTATTCCAATGGGACATAAAAAAAACCTGGAAGTCTTGTTTGTGTGTGGTGTATGTTCTTTACTGGCTTCTGTGGGCTTTTCTTTCCCGGGGTCTGCATCAGTCTGTTTCGATGTGAGAACTGGAGAGACCTTGGGAGTTGCTGAATTGGATTTTGTGTTCAGATGTAACAGGAAAGGGCTGACAGCCTACAGGAAGGACCCAAGCAAACACCTAATGTGGCTGAGCATTGGCTGGTGCATTTCTGACTTCTACACAAGAGCTCATTTTCATACTTCAAAAAGTGGATGGTGGTAAAGAGCAAATGGCCGTGATATTTAAATTGTCTAAGATTTGAAAAGTCCAGCATGATGTACTCCAGACATTTCCTGCTGCCTTCCAGCCACTTGAACATGACCTTGCAATACCCTCGTCCTCTATTCTTTACCCTCTTTTCTTTGTACCCCTTTCTTCTGATCCATTCTGTATGCTGAGGATTCACAATAGAGTATTACAAAAAATAAAGCAGGTAAAAATATAGCTTATTCATCCCTTTGGGGCTCAGACACAAAAACCTTTTCTGCGGGGTTGGATTAACAATCTTTATGAGTTTTTTCTTTTAATTAAACAAGTTGTACCCAGTATGATTTTTTGAAAATGAAAATATCTAATGTGCATTTATCACTTGTATTACATCTACTGTGTGATAAATGCTTACAAGTATTACACTTGACTCCTTGCAATGTTGATAATACCAATGGGGATTCATGGTATATAATGACTCCAGATATGGATCTATTGATCTGTTCATAATAACCCACTAATCATAATAATCCACTCTTAGAGAAACCCGAGGAGTCCTGTTACCTTTATCCACAGGCATTTCAAGTGAAAAGTAGGTTTAATTTAAAAATGGGCTATTTCATCAGCTTGCATCTGCAAAATGTGGGTCAACCCCTAGCTCCAACTCCCTAAAGGAAAGGAGCCTAATGCTAGGAGCCTCAGCCTTGGAGAGGGCTTTGTAATAGGAGAGGAGAGATACTCCTTTGCACCCTGGGACCAACTTTCTGAGAGGGAGGCACCTTCTCCAGCTCTTCCCTTTTCTCACTTCTTTTGTGTTCTCTGGACTTGGAATTAAACCTGACTATTTCTCTCTTCCCTCTCCTGTCTTTCTCTTTCACTTCTTCCCTATCTTTCTCTAACATATGACCGAGTGGGTGCAAACCAAAAGCCTGATTCCTCAGTGCAGGAAATGTAACTTAATTTATTTTTCTTTAATGGAATTTGAGTTCTATTATAAGCAGTCATTCTAGCAGGCAGTAAAACCTTTATCTAAGCCAATTTAGACTCTCACATACCCTTCACATTTTAAATGGATCTGACCTCATTTCCAAGGAGTATTTTATGGTGTTTCTGCCAGGTGGATTGGGAGGAAGTCTGTCTGTCACCACCATCAGTGCACAGTATTGTCAGCTGAGGACACTCATTTCTGGAGGCATGTTGGGCTTTCACTTATTCAGATCACTGTCCTGGTGGGTTCTCTGGCTATCAGAGTCCAAATCTCAGCCAAGCACGGCTGCAGAAAGATCCACTCCTGCTTCCAGCAAGGGCAGTGAAGACTGACCTATGATTCATGGCATAACCATCCCTCCTTCTCTGCACTGGGGCAAGGGCCAGTCAAACCCATGGGTGCTGTTGCTTGCCCAGAACCTCTGGTGTCCAAGCCCATTTGTCCTCCTTTAGGATAGGAAGTAGAGGGTGGCAGGGTACCGGCTCCTTCTCAGACACCTGCCAGCTTCAAATCCTCCTTGTTGTCTCTGAATCTTTCCACTTGCCTGAGCAAACTTCATCTCATCTTCAAGACAGAACACATAGCTTCTGGCTGATATGAGGATGACTTTCCAGTGTTAGATCTACACGGAGGCTTTTGAAACTAATGGTGAGGACAGCAGCCCACCTCCTGCCCTTTTTATCCCATTGTTGGATTTGGTGGCTCTCCACAGCTGGGACTTCTCATCAGCTGGTACTTAATATTTTCTTTTAAAATGTATTTGTTCACTGATTTCTTCCAACTAGAATGTAGAACAGATAATGATTGGGTCTCCTTTGCTGAATGCTTTATTTTCAGCACTCAGGACAGGGTCTTACATATACATGATTCTTAGTAAATATTTGCTGAGAAAAATAATGGGTGAATAAGTGAGTGAAGTGGAGCTGCTTGTCATTTGGGTTATTTTTTTTGAGCTATTAGGAATGACCTATTTGGGGAAAAATCTATAGGGGCACAGATTCCAGTTAAGAAAAATGAAAAAATGAGTATACTTTAAAAAAATTCATGGAAGGGGCCAGCGCCATGGCTCACTTGGCTAATCCTCCGCCTGCGGTGCTGGCATCCCATATGAGCACTGGGTTTTAGTCCCGGTTACTCCTCTTCCAGTCCAGCTCTCTGCTGTGGCCCGGGAGTGCAGTGGAGGATGGCCCAAGTATTTGGGCTCCTGCACCCACGTGGGAGACCAGGAGGAAGCACCTGGCTCCTGGCTTCGCATCGGCGCAGTACACTGGCTGTAGTGGCCATCTGGGGGGGTGAACCAACAGAAGGAAGACCTTTCTCTCTGTCTCTCTCACTGTCTAACTCTGCCTGTCAAAAAAAAAAAAAGTCTTTTTTTAAAAAAAAGTCTTTTAAAAAAATTCATGGAAAATGAGATTAAAGACAAATTTATTTTGTGAAAAATCTTTGAAATACAGGCATAGTTTTTTTTTCATAACACATTTTCCATGAACATTTTTAAGTGCCCTCATATCTCATGTTTTCCCCTTACACATAGACATGAAGTGATAAGTATACAATTTGTAAGCATTTTTTTTTAATTGACAACGGTGTTGATGTTTTCCTAAAGATAGGAGAGTCTTTCCTGGTAGGTGGATTTCATTTCCTGACGTGTGGGCAGAGGAACTCCGTGGTGATTTGGAACCTAGAGATTCTTCTTAAAAATCTTTTCTCCCACTCATGCTCATGAGTTCTAGCCCAAATCTCTGCAAAGGCCTTGTTTACATTCTTCTTAGATATTCCTTATATAGCTGTTTTCAAAACCGCTGTGGAATGCAACAAATCATAAAAATGAAGACACTAGTGGGAAATTGACTTTAAGTTCATAGTGTTGCTTTTTTTTTCCCCAACCAAAATTCAAGATAGATAGATTTATTTTGAAGGAAATAACCTTTTTTTTTCTAAGCTGTTTTGTTCTAAATAGGACCGTGGTTCCTATTTTTTCACTGTAAATCTGAACTAAGTATTAAAGAACACAAATATTTTGAGAATGTTTCCCTGGCTAACCAGTATACTTGAATCTCTAGTTGAAGGTAGAAGACATCAAGTTAATCCATTGGGGAAAACCATAAGAATCCATGATGTCTAAGGATTGATGTAAATTCTTACGGTAGCAGAGAAGAAAAATTTGGATCTTTCTCTGAGTGTAAGCACAACTTGCTAAAAGACTACAAGCAGCAGTAAGATTAACATTTCAAGTCATAGATTTATTCTTGATGCTAAATGTTTATCTTCACATCATATCTTTGTTGTCACTTAAAAATACTAGCCGTAACGGACCCACCTCTACCATCTCAACCAATGGAGGTTGAAGGTGTGGCTCGCTTTTGAAGATTCTGGGGTATTTGAAGTCTTATTGCTAAATTTTTTTTTTTTTTGCTTTGCATATAATTTAAGCTCTCATCAAATGTTCCTGTTCTGCTAACTCCCAGTTCAGATGTTTCTCATTTTATGCAGTTGTGTTCCCTTGAAAATGCAACTAAACTAGATCATCCTTTAAATGTACTGAAAGTCCTGGCAGTAATAAATCATGAAAGATGATATCTTCTCCAAACTGAATCACTACTTCTAATGTATCTGACTTTTAAATTTGAATTCCCTGAGGTTTGTCTTAAAGCTTGGCTCTGAGCCAAACTGCCATTAGGAGATTGGGTGAGTGACTCCAATCCACTCTGTGTAATTGCCCCCCTGGCTTATAAATGGTCCCAACAAAAGGGCAAGGCACATTTTTATATAATTTTGTAGACACAAGAAGATACAGTATGGAAATTTTATTACAATATCTACTTTACATTAGCTGTTACTGCTTATGCACATGTAAAGAAAAGAAATAATGTTAAGTGTAATGAAATAGAGAAGTAAACCATATTTATAGCCTTTTGGTATTTTTTCCATTGTTGAGAAAGCATCATTAGGGAATCATTGGGTTATGTGGCCACAGAATCATGACACTGTGACCATATGTATGATGTATGCTTGGAGGCGACGTGTCTCATCCCTTTTCCATACATGCTGCCAAATGGAGCAATTTATCAACCAGACATGCCAAGGGCTGGTCGAAGGGATACATTATAGTCTTATGTTTTTATTCCTGCCTTATGATTTTGTGGCTCATAAAAGAATGTAGACTTAGTAAAAATTTCAACTCACTATAGATGCAAAGTTGCCAGTACAACTGTCCGTACTTGGCGGGGGTGGTTGGGTGGTTAGTTGAGAAGGTTAGCATCTCCTGTTCCCTTGGAACTTAGAAAAACACTTTCCTCCTAAGAATCAAACTTTGAAATCAGCTCATGTGACATTACAATATTATGCAGAAGATTCTTAAAACAGACACAATGCCTTTTACGAACCTCTAACTCAGTGAAAACTTTTTCATTAAATGTAGTAACACCATTACTTTGAGTGGACATTGTGTCCACTAGGAAGCTTGGATTGAGAGGCCCATGGCAAACATGGCACTCCCTAGCAAAGCACTATCTAGAGAAAGCTTAAATTTATCCAAGAAACTGAAATGCTAAAGATTCACCTTGATGTCACTGTTCTTGTGCTAGAGATGAGATATTTCCAGAGATTTGAGAGGCACTAGGCATTTCCAGTTAATCTTAATCACCCTTTTCTGATTCCAAATTCACCAGAATGCATATTAAAATAGCACTTTGTTTCTCTTACAGGTACACAGGGCATTTCTGTTTAGAGAGTCAATGGATCTTGACAAGTCCGTGGACATATATTTGACTTATGTACCTGATTACTATGAATTTCTATCTGAAAAACAATAGATCTCATGTCAAGCATACAGAAAAAAAAAAGAAAACCTAGTTTTCTTTGTGCAGTCAATGAGTGTTTATTAGGCACCCACTGCTGGCTAATGCCACTCTGCAAGACCTCTTGGGAGAGAACAGAGGATGCCCCATTGGCTCAGGGCCAGTTTCCACTAGGAAATATTGACAAGCCTTTTTCTCTGTTCCCTCCCCAGCTGAGCCTTTCTCAGAGTTTGATGCGGTGCTGTTGTTGCCAGATGCTCATTTAACTTCTGAAAAGCTTTAATAAATTTTACTAGCTTCCTGGGTGGTAAAAATGAGAGAGAAAATTGAGCTCTACTTTGCAGATGAAGACTTTAATTGCACCCTACCTTTCATTATCTCTCCTGAGGCTATGTCTTTGGTGGCAGGATCCTGGATGTGGGGAGAAGCCCCTTAGCACACAGCAGACTTTTCAGTAATAATTAGTCTGAAAGTCTTGGGGGGGTGCATTTTGGAGCTGGAAGGAGCCCGAGACATAGTCTTGGATAGCAGGAAACCAAGATCTGAAAAAGTTAAGTCACTTGGCCCAAAACATGTGACCTGATTTTATTTGCTTTCTGTGACTAGCTTTTAACAGTTACAAAGTCATTCCAGTACTCCACAAATTTAAATGTGTTGCTAGGATAGACATTTGACCTGTGGTTATGATGACAGCCAGCGTGCCTGCATTCCATATCAGAGTGACTGGGTTTGAGTCTCAGCTCTACTTTCCATTCTAGCTTTCTGTGAATGCCACGCCGGGAAGCAGCAGGCGTGGCTCAAGTGCTTGTGTCCCTGCCACCCTCATGGGTGGCTTGGATTGGATTCCCAGGCCCAGGCATTTTGGGAGTGAACCAATGGATGGGTGCTCTCTGTTTGTTCCCTTTTGTCTTTTTGCCTCTAAAATAAATACATGAACAAATAATTTAAATGTATTCCCAGCCATACTACTTTTTTTGTTGATATATATAACCTTAATTTGGCCATTTCAAAATGAAAGCCATTCTAATGAAAGTGCATTTGGACAGGAATATGCAAGCATTCATGGTTTCCTTTTAGTCCACCAGTACAATGAAGCAACACTGATGACAATATAAACTTTTAATCACATCAGACTTTTTAGATCAGAGCAGTTGTGAAATATGGAGAGATGATCACCTGACATGATCATAATGCTTGCACACATCATAGTAGCAACTTTTTATTCAATACTGGATATACATTAAGCAATGCCACTAAATGATTATGAACTATCTTCCAAGGAATTCTCTCACCAACTATCCCCATGTTTCTGATGAGGATAGGATATTTTGACAACTTTTCTAGTTCCTCACATGTGTCAACAAAGACATTGAGACCAAGGTGTGTCCTGCATGAAACCTGGGTTCACAGTTGTCAAGCTTGAAAAATTGTCCTAAGTGACACCCATTCCTCTTTGCTTTGCTTTGCTGATGGCAGCAACTCATTACAAATATTATCTTTGTTTTGTAAAAAAAAGAAAAATGAAAAAACTCCAATGTCTCTGCTTCTGAAAGTCGCTTTTTTCCCCAAAGGCATGTTGTATCATTTTAAAAATCATTGTCCTTTATGTTAGTTTTATTATTTTAATATCTTTAATTCTATGGAATTTTGTCATATTCATAATTAAATAAATTCACTGAATATAGGAATAGCTTTTTATACTTTGATGTCCCTACTCCTAACACTGTACTGTATAAATAATAAGCATCAAATAAATATTTTTTGATGGATTTGATTAATTCCAAGATGAAAGCAGTGGTAAGCAGAGAAAGTGTGTTTCTTTGTAGGAAACTGTCAGCTTTGTATAAAGGGCCAGAGGTGTCAGGAAAGCACTATGGCTGGGATTGTGCAAAGAACCAAAAGTTACCACAAGGTCAGTTTTGCTCTCGGTCTGCTGCTGAGTGGGTTTGTAGGTGAGTTTTACCGTGACCAACCATTCCAGCTTTGCTGGGACTAATGAGTTTCCCACAATGCAACAAGTCAGCGTGAGTTGGCAATTCTAGAAAGTATGTGCCTCTGGTCGACAGGGCTGTGTTTTGCTATCTTTATGGGGGTTTATTCTTTCTACATCTTTAAACCCACCCACTCAACCAACCAACAAATGTCTGGGTGTCTGAAAGATGGGTCGGAGCCTGTTATTGCTGAAGTATTGTACATTTCCCACCATAAATGTTAGACTTAAACAGCCAATTTTATCTTGGAAGACCTAATGGTATTTTGGAGGTCATTATCATCAACGCTTATCTGCGACATGCCAATAGGGCTCCTGGGCCTGTTCACGCTGAAGATCTCCTTTGAAGTCCTGGAGAGCTTTACCCGCTGAGCTGCTATTGAGGGTACAGAGAGGAATAAAAGCTATTTATTAACATGCACTACAGGTCCAAGAGAGCCATATCAAAAGCTCACACACCAGGCTATTTAATTTGTTGGCCTGCTCAGGAGAAAGATACCTGCTGGGCAGGGTGGGTTTGAAGAATCAGATAGGAAGATGTATAAATGAGTATAATTCACACTATTATTTCTTGGCTGTGTTCACACATAGATGCGAAATTTTTTCTACCCTAGAGCTGGCATGTATCTCTCGCCACTTTCTCTGAGCTGGTATCCTGGCAGTTGAAACTTGGTGGAGAAAAATCATGCAGTTGGACTGACTAGTTTTTGACCTTCAAGTTATTTTAAGACTTCTTTTGGCATTGCCTGGTGGTCCCGTTGTGTTTCTTCAGTAGGTACTCTTTCCTGTCTGCTGAGGTTGCTCTTTCAAACCTTCCTCTTATCCCTCAGCACATGACCTTGGAGATTAAAAACAAAAGTCAGCAACTGTAATCCTGTTACCTCTGATCAACAGCTGTAACAATCCACATCTACCTTCACCTGCTTGTGTCTTCTCTGCTCAGTTATAGGGGAGTCATTCTTCCTCTGAGACTGATCATCATCTCCTGTGTGTTTTATGCACTTCCATGTGCCATCCAGGCAGCTTCTGAATTGTCCCCATGTGATCCCTATCTTTTAGGATTCATGCCCGGTGCAAGCTCCTCACTTTGAATGTAGGCTGGACCTACTCAGTGGCTTCTATTGAGGAGCACATGGCACAGAGGCTGCGTTGCTCATTTTCAAGTTAGGATTGTTTCCATCTCTCCCACCTGCTTGCTCGGAGGAAGTGCCTACCTTACTGGGAGCTGCCTCATAGAGAGTGCCCCTTAGAGGAGCTGAGGGCAACCATGAGCCGATGGGATCAGTAAATGGAGTTAGTTGGTTTGACAGCCCATGAGGCACTGCCTCCTGCCAATGAGCATTTGGCCAGGTTGGGTGTGAATCCTTCATGAGATCATGGTTTATATCCTGGTTAGCTCCAGTTTATATCCTGGTTGGTATCATCTGATGCCTTGATTGCATCCTGGGAGGAATCTGAGCCTTTAGACCCATCTAAGCTGCACTCAAATTCCTGACACACAGATGTGTGAGATGATAAATATTGACTGAAATCCAGTTTCATGAAAATTTTTTAAATTTTTATTTTATCTGAAAGGCAAAGTTAGAGAGAGAGAGAGAGAGAGAGAGATCCTCCATCTGTTGGTTCTTTCCCCCAAATGGCTACAATGGATTGGGCTGAGTCAGGCTGAAGCCAGGAGCCAGAAGCTTCTTCCAAGTCTCCCACTTAGGTGGCGGGAATCCAAGCTCTTGTGCCATCGTCAGCTTCTTTCCCAAGCTCATTTGCAGGGAGCTCATAGGAAGTGGAGCAGCTGGAACTCAAACCAGTGCTTATATGGAATGCTGGCGTTGCAGGCAGTGGCTTTACCTGCTATGCCACAATGCCAGCCCGCTAAGTTTTTTTTTTTTTTTTTTTAACACAGCCATATATAAATTGACACATTAAAGTATTTTTATTTCCACACTTGCCCCTTGATTCAGAATAAATATATGCAGAAATACAACTTGACTAACAAAAATATGGTGTGAGTCACAAATGTGAATGTGATATTATATAATTTTCTATGACCAAATTAAAAGAAATGAAAAGAAACAAAAAATTCAATTTTAATAATATCTTTCTTACTATGGCAAAGCCAAGTCATTTAATATACAGTATGATTGAAGAGATATTTTAGATACATGGTTTGTGGGCTTGGTTTTTGAAGCTCAGGGCTCATGTTACATGTACAAGGCAGTCCCATTCAGACTGGCCACTCAGTGAGTACATGGGGTAGGGGTTAGCCCATTGGACAGCTCAGGTTGAAAATGAAACACACTTTGGTAACACAGCAAAATAACACAAAGCTACATTTTTCTCCAAATACTGATTTTTTTAATCTTTTAAAAGAGTTTCCTATGGTAATTCTTTTTTTTTTTTTTTTGACAGGCAGAGTGGACAATGAGAGAGAGAGACAGAGAGAAAGGTCTTCCTTTGCTGTTGGTTCACCCTCCAATGGCTGCCGCGCTGCAGCCGGCGCACCGCGCTGATCCGATGGCAAGAGCCAGGTACTTATCCTGGTCTCCCATGGGGTGCAGGGCCCAAGTACTTGGGCCATCCTCCACTGCACTCCCTGAACACAGCAGAGAGCTGGCCCGGAAGAGGGGCAACCAGGACAGAATCCAGTGCCCCGACCGGGACTAGAACCCGGTGTGCCGGCGCCGCAAGGTGGAGGATTAGCCTAGTGAGCCGCGGTGCCAGCAGTAATTCTACCATCAGTGAAAGTTCATTTTCCTGGCCATGGAGGAAGCACACTGCTCTGTGCCAAGGGAAAGCTCGTTCCCCTACTTGCACTATGTTCCCAGGTGACTGGCATCTCTGAAGGGCCTCCTCTTGTGGATGTGCGGGTTTCCCACCACAGTCACTGCTGTTGTAGCTCCTCCACACTTGCTCGCTTAGCACGTGTGTCCTCTGTTGTTGGGTGTCGGTGGCTGCCTTCCCCGGATCTGCAAATTCCTGAGACTTGGAAGAATCCTCCACTGGCCTCTGGTACGGTTCAGTTATTTCAGTTCAAATTTCTCCCGACAGCGCTGAGAAGTGGGGCCATGATTAGGTCATGAGTGGATTAAAGGAATTATCTTGGGAATAGCCTAATTAGTAAAAGGGGGAAGTTCAGTGCTTCTCTCTCTCTCTCTCTTACAGGTACTCTTTTGGCACATGATACCTTTCATCATGTTATGACACAGCAAGAAGACCCATGCCAGGGGTAGCTCCTTGGTCTTGGACTTACCCACGTCCAGAACCGCACGTGCAATAAACTTCTGCTTATTCACTCACTCTGGTATTCTACAGCAGCAGCAGCAGCAGCAGCAGCAGCAGCAGCAAATAGACAGTGACAGGCTCCGTGCTGGGGCTGTCCACCTGGTACCTGGGCTGTGGGGTCTACTCACCTCACACCTTCGTGATCTTAGCGGACATGCCAGTTCCTAATTTTCAGTTATTTTCCTCCGGAGGATGTAAGAGGAACCTTCTGGGCCTCTACCTGCCTCATAGGAAATGAGGGAGTCTGGAATGTTGAGTGAGGATCCTCCATCCTTCTCCCTTTCCTTTCTCCTGTTCCTGTTCTGTACTCCATGATGGGTGAGGCATTCTGTGAAGCTGCCTCCCCTAAGATTTCTGTCTTGAAATTCCTAAAGAAATATTGGGGACTTCTGTGTCATACCCCTCACTGTCATTAGCCTGGATGGTAACCACGCCTCTTTTTCCTCCACCTGCATGGACAGTCAACTCTTTGTGATTTGTCTCCTCTTTTCAGGATCTTAAATACATCAAAAGCGAAGCCTAAGGAAACAATAAACCCAAAGGGATGGGCAATGTTAATAATCCCTTCCCTGGTATTAAGAGGTATCCCTCAATCTTCCCTATCCCACTGAGAGCTGTGGCTGCCTACTTCTGTCTTCAACTTAGTTTGAGAACAATACCTTTTCTCTCTAGCTCCAAGCTTTTGCTAGTTCAAAGGCGCTTTGGCCTCAGAAACATCTATTCCCCACTCAAACTCACCTCTTGTTCTACACTGGACTGACCTCAAAAAAATGCCATTGATCTAGAGCAAGAAGAGAAAAATATTCATTAAAAATATGTGAAAAAAAATCTCTAGTCTCAGAATCAGCCCTTAAGGCATTCGGATCTGGCTAAAAAAGCCCATGAGAGTATTTCAGGCATGGAAAGCCAAGACACTGGCAAAACAAAACAAAACAAAACAAAAAAACAAAACAAAAAAAACCTAAATGAAAGATCTCTGTGAGTGAGATCCCAGCGGAAAGAATGGGCCATCAAAGAAGGAGGTACCTTTCTCTGAAGGGAGGAGAGAACTTCCACTTCGAATATGGCCTTGTCTAAATAATATTGGAGTTGGCGAACTCAAGAGGCTTCCATAGCCTTGACAGCTCATGACAAGAGCCTTGGGCGACGGGCGATTACTGATGTCATAAAAAAGAATGTCAACTGTTAAATCAACAATGGGAGTCACTGTACACCTGCTCCCCATGTAGGACCTCTGTCCTTATGTGTTGTACTATGTGAATTAATGGTAAAACTACTATCCAAACAGTACTCTATACTTTGTGTGTCTTTGTGGGTGCAGTCTGTTGAAATCTTTACTTAGTATATACTAAGTTGATCTTCTGTATAAAAAGATAATTGAAAATGAATCGTGATGAAGAATGGGATGGGAGAGGGAGTGGGAGATGGTGGTTGTGGGTGGGAGGAAGGTTATAGGGGAAAGCCGCTATAATTCAAAAGTTGTACTTTGAAAATTTATATTTATTAAGTAAAAGGTTTTTTTTTTTGACAAGCAGAGTGGACAGTGAGAGAGAGAGAGAGACAGAGAGAAAGGTCTTTCTTTTCCGTTGGTTCACCCCCCAATGGCTGCTGCGGCTGGCGCACCACGCTGATCTGAAGTCAGGAGCCAGGTGCTTCCCTGGTCTCCCATGTGGATGCAGGAGCCCAAGCACTTGGGCCATCCTCCACTGCCTTTCCGGGCCACAGCAGAGAGCTGGCCTGGAAGAGGAGAAACCGGGACAGAATCCAGTACCCTGACTGGGACTAGAACCTTGTGTGCCAGTGCCACAGGCGGAGGATTAGCCTATTGAGCCGCGGTGCCGGCTAAATAAAAGTTTTAAAAAAATGTGAAAAAAAGACACTGTTCTGCTTCCTGACCACACTGACCCCAAAGCAGTTCCTGTCTTCCTGTGAAATCATTACACCACCATTCTGCAAACAGGCTGCAGCAGAGATGGCTAATTTTCTGCAACAAAATTCTCTTCCTCTCTAGGTCCCTGGTTCTGTTAAGAGTGCTGAGTACATGTTCTGGTATTCTGTTCAAAAGACGAGGCTAATGAGATACAGTGCAAATCTTTAGTGCTGCTTCTTGGTTAAAAAAAATGAGTACTTAGCTGGTAGCTGCTATTTGGCCTCTCCTTTATTTTGCATTTTTCCTAACTGGAATGCAGAAAGTGATGGCTGAAACTAGCAGCCATTGTATGACCACGAGGCATACTTGAGGATTGAATTCCTATGGTAAAACTGAAGTGCCAGGAAGGCGAGAAGAGTGAGATATTAATGTATGGGGGTATTTCAAAAAGCTTATATAAAAACTGAATTAAAAGATGTTTTGGAGCAAACTTTTTTTTGAAATCATGCGGTTTTTTCCCCTCTCATACCCATTTTCTGTGAACTTTTGAGAATCGCTTGCATAGTTTCAGTGAAGACACTGTAGATTCATCAGTGTGGGTTCTAGAATAGCTACCTCCAGCTGTCATGTTACATGAGCAAAGTGAGCTATTGTCTGGTAGAGGCCATGTTTCCATGGCTTTAACTTTACTTTCTTACTGTTAACAAACATTGCAACTTGAATCCTTTGCTTATGCTTCCTCGGGACTGCTCTTGGCAGTTCTTTTAAATGAAAAATCACATACAGCTGAGTCAAGTCAGTACTGTTTAGTTGCTGAACCGTTGAGGCCGTCTTCAGGCCCAGCCTCTGACTCCTTCTCCAGATTGTCTCCCTTCCGAGTGTCTTCCCCTTACAAAGTCACTCTCTTCCTTCTCTGCCCCCGACTTACCAGCCCTGGAGCCTCTTCTTTCTCTCCACTTTCTTTTATGATTATTTCTATAGTGTTCATGCAAACCAATCTTATGTCAACAATGCCTAAGATTTTATCTTTTGCTTAAATTTTCCTTTAGGTTCCAGATGTCACATGCATGGCTGAATGCCTGGTATTCTCTCCTTGAGTCATGCAATCTAACGTGGACAGTGGGATGGATGGCAACAGACAGTTCTAATCTCCTGCAGCAACTGCCTTCTCGTCCCTCCCCTCAAACTCCACACAGCAGCCAAAATGCTCTGTGTTTTTTGAGAGAGAAATCATGCAAAGTTGCCATCTGGCTCAGGAGCCATCCGTTACTCTCCATTTCACTTGGCATAAAAACCAAAGTTCTCATCACGCCAACAAAACCCTGCATTTGCAGAGCTAGATGCCACCTCTGCTTGCCTCCCTCCCCCTCCAACCCTCACTTCTTCCTCTTTTTCAGAAGAGTCTTTTCCATCCAGGAGCCTCTAAGTATGCAGTTCCTTCTGCCTAGAATCTGCTTCCTTCCAATTGTTTGCAAGATGAGACATTCCTCTCTCCATTACCTCACAGCCCGCTTTTCAAGTCTCAGCGTTTTTACCTTGTTTAATTCCCTTGTAATCCTTGTTATAGTATGTAGTTACTTCACTCGACTACTTATTTCATTGTGTGCTTGTTTCCTCAGTAGAATTTAAACTCCAGTAAATGTAGCATTTTTGTCTTCTTTGCTAACCACTGTATTTCTGGCACTGGGAATGTGGTAGGGAGCAATACCAATGTGAATAAGGAGTGGTGGCCCTGGCTCTGTCTCGGCACAATGAGTATGTACTTCATTCTCAGTTTTACTTGTAACCAAAGGAAATATAATGAGAGTCAGAAATACATAGATAACAGGAAGGTGTAATTACTCAAGAACAATAGCTATAATTTTGTAAAAACTTGTTCAACAAAATTACGTAAGTACACACTAATCAATGTATGCAAATCACATAGCTTGTAGACAAAGGTAAAGACCAACTTTCGAGCTGACTGCTCAGAATATAGCCATCAATAACTCATGACTATTAGCTTGACATCTACTTCTGAAGATAAAGGAAGACACGTGATTAGTTATGGAACATAAAACTATTTTCTATATGACTTTTAAAATAAAGTGTTACTTTAGCCTTTACTTAAAACACTTAAAAAAGAAAGTGAAGGAATTGCTAAACTTAAGATGAACACTTCATGATTTTTTGCATAAAGCTACCTCTAAATTTAAGAAAATAAAGGGCCGGTGCTGTGGCATAGCGGGTAGAGCTGCCACCTGCAATGCCAGCATCCCATATGGACACCGGTTGGAGTCCCAGCTGCTCCACTTCCAATCCAGCTCTCTGCTATGGCCTGGGAAAGCAGTAGAAGATGGCCCAAGTCCTTGGGCCCCTGCACCTGCATGGGAGACTCAGAAGAAGCTCCTGGTTCCTGGCTTTGAATTGGTGCAGCAGCTCCAGCCGTTGCGGCCAATTGGGAGTGAACCAGCGGATGGGAAACTTCTCTCTCTCTCTCTGCCTCTCCTTCTCTCTCTGTGTAACTCTTTCAAGTAAATAAATAAAAATCTTTAAAAAAAAGAAAATAAGATTTGGAATAACATTAGTAAGCAAATGTCATTGTTTTAGAAACACTACCATTACATTTTAGGCAGAATTAATGGACTCTCATTTATTCCTTCGCTTCTCTCTCATCTCCTGATTTTTGATAGCCACTTGATTTTTATGTTTTTAGATTTATTTATGAATTTGAAAGGCAGAGTTACAGAGAGGCAGAAGCAGAGAGAGAGAGGTCTTCCATTTGCTGGTTTACTCCCCAGATGGTTGCAATGGCTGGAGCTGCGCCAACCCAAAGCCAGGAGCCAGGAGCTTCCTCCAGGTCTCCCATGCAGGTGCAGGGGCCCAATGACTTCAGCCATTTTCTACTGCTTTCCCAGGCCACAGCAGAGAGCTGGACCAGAAGTGGAGCAGCCAGGACTTGAACTGGTGCTCATATGGGATGCCAGCACTGCAGGCTGTGGCTTTACCAGCTATGCTACAGCACCAACCCCTGCTTTATTTTCATTATGCTGTGGTACTATAAAATTGTGTTCTGGTCTGTAACCATCATTCCAGATGGCTTTATTTTAATTTCATATTTAGATTAATTCTGATTTCATCCATCCTTACCCCCTTTTTTTAAAAATTTTTTTTTTACCAGGCAGAGTTAGACAGTGAGAGAGAGACATACAGAGAGAGAGTTATAGACAGTGAGAGACAGAAAGGTCTTCCTTCCATTGGTTCATTCCCCTAATGGCCGCCACAGCTCGTGCTGCGCCGAACCGATACTGTTTGTAGAATTATATCTCTCTGTTTGGTCTCCATTAGTGTTATTCTGAGGTTCAATTTTTTTTTTTTTTAAGATTTTATTTGAGAGGTAGAATTCGAAAGAGAGGGGGAGAGAGATTGAGGTCTTCCATCTGCTGGTTCAGTCCCCAAATGGCTGCAATTGCTGGAGTTGGGCTAATCTGAAGACAGAAGTCAGGAGCTTCTTCTGAGTCTCCCAGGCAGGTGCAGGGGCCCAAGCACTTGGGTCATCAGCTACTGCTTTCCCGGGCCATAACAGAAAGCTGGATCAGAATAGGGGCAGATGGGGCTTGAACCAGCACCTACATGGGATGCCAGTGCTTTAGGCAGAGGCTCAGCCTATTAAGCCACAGTGCCAGCCCCTAAGCTTCAATCTTTACTTGTAGTGATAAAAATGTCTGCTTGTGTCTCAAGTTTCCATTACCTTCATAGGCAGAATAACAGACAACACAATCTGCAGAACATTTGATCTCTGAATTAAAACAATCTCAATGCACTGATAAACACAGTGATAGAAATTTTAGTATCAGTTTTTCTAAAATTGGCTAATAGATATGGCTTCTCCTCCCTGGCTCACTCTCACTTTGAGTCTTTTACTCCCTTAACCTAGTTTACATAGATGGGGAGCTGATTAAACACAACCCTTTTCCCTGGGAGAGGACAAACTCATTTTTAACAAAAGGATGCAGGAGTTTTTGGTGATGTCACATTGAGCTGATAGAAAAGCACCTTAGAAGGTGTCCGGTCTTTGGTCACTTTCTGCTCTGCTTGACTGGGCACCCTTGCTCTGGGGGAATTACAAGCAGCCCAAGACTGAAAAAGTTTTCTTATTTTAGTCCTGAATAAAGAAAGATTCCTAAAGAAGTCAGAGGTGTGGCTCAGGTGCCAGATCTACAAACAAGTAGGAGCCACAAAATGTGCCACATTGCAAAGCAGTGTGTGGAGCATTGGGAGGGCCTGAGAGCCAACGGATAGAGCAGAGGAGGGCAGAGTCGGCTCCACCTCGGCAGGTAGCCAGTCTACTGTTTTCCTCTCTGGAACACCAGCACACATGTGGCACATAATAAGCACTAAAGTCATGTGTTAACTCATTTGATTAGCCAGGTCATATGTAGAACACTTAGACATTGGTGTGGAAGTGAAAAAGAAAGTGCTACCTGAGCAGCTAGCTACTTGCTAATTTAATCTTTGCACTTTGAGAAGATTCAGCAATTGCTCCTTT